AGCAGTTTGGGATTGGGGGGGGCAAACATTCCAGGGGGCTCACCTTCCAGGGGCAGTGACGTAATGAGAAATAACGTTCGGTAGGGGGGGGGGGGGCAGACGAAAAATCTGCATCACCACCAGTCTTGCACATTACATGCAAGTCCCGCGGAACGTTTTTCAAAGTGGAGTAATAACGATCAGGTAGAGCGTAAATTGGCGTGGGGCTCAGGGTCTGAGCACCGGCAGGGGGTCAAGGGGCTGAGCCCCCAGAAGCTCTGGGGTTTTAGGTATTTAATTACGGTTAGATGAGCATCCAGGGCCCTCTTTAAGGCCATTGACGTGTTCCAGGGGGGGGGGCCTAGATGCTCAGAGGTTTCAATATCTTACTATGGTCAGATGAGCATCTAGGGGCCACCTTAGGGCCCTTGGTTGGGTCCAGGGGGCAGAGCCCCCGGAAGCTCAGGGGTTTTAGGTATTTAATTACGAGATGAGCATCCAGGGGCCCGCCTCAGGACCCTTGGTGGGGTCCAGGGGGCAAAGCCCCCGGAAGCTCAGGGGTTTTGGGTATTTAATTACGGTCAGATGAGCATCCAGGGGCCCGCCTTAGGGCCCTTGGTGGGGTCCAGGGGGCAGAGCCCCCGGAAGCTCAGGAGTTTTAGGTATTTAATTACAGTCAGATGTGCATCCAGGGCCCGCATTAGGGCCCTTGGTGGGGTCCAGGGGGCAGAGCCCCCGGAAGCTCAGGGGTTTTGGGTATTTAATTACGGTCAGATGAGCATCCAGGGGCCCGCCTTAGGGCCCTTGGTGAGGTCCAGGGGCAGAGCCCCCGGAAGCTCAGGGGTTTGAGGTATTTAATTACGGTCAGATGAGCATCCAGGGGCCCGTTTTAGGGCTCTCGGTGGGTTCCAGGGGGCATAACCCCCGGAAGCTCGGGGTTTTTGGTATTTAATTACGGTCAGATGAGCATCCAGGGGGCAGAGCCCCCGGAAGCTCAGGGGTTTTAGGTATTTAATTACGGTTAGATTGCATCCAGGGGACCGCCTTAGGGCCCTTGGTAGGGCTCGGGGGGGGAGCCCCCGTAAGCTCTGACGTTTTAGGCATTTAATTACGGTCAGATGATCATTTTTTCTACCTTATTTGTAACATTGGCAGGTCACTAATTTTTTCTCTCCGTCTTTCTTTCTTTTTCTCTTTAACATACTTTTTCAAAAAGTGAGGGGGGGGGGGGGCTCGAGCCCAGCCACTTTGCAAACCTTTACATGAAGGTTTCTAAATAAGCGTATTTTTCGCCCGACTGTAATTTGGGAATTTCTTATTTTCCAACGAACGCATAAAAAGGTATGACTTACAAAAAAATGGAGAAAAAAAATACCAGAAAATCATGTCATAACAGTAATATTTGTAAATCACTGGTATCGAATAAGAAAATACACCCCCCCCCCCCTCCCCCATCAGTACGCCAGCGTTCAGGGGCTCATGTCTTCTCACCCCTATAACAAAAAAAACAGACACGCTTTCCCATTCTCGCACAATATTTCCACAATATGCGCGTATCGCTATTATAAAGACCTCCATTGATATATACCGTATAGGTGGAATGCGCAATGTTAATGAAATTGAATTCATGTGAACTTTCCTTTTCTTTGAATGGAATTTTATATGTGATTTAATTCAGGTTTTTATTATTGTTATGTTCTTTTGGGTTAAAAATACAAACCATATTTACTCCTTAACTGCCTTCTTTTTTTTTTTTTGGAGGGGGGGGGGCGTTTTGGGGGGGCAAAAATGCGTTTTGCCCCCCCACTTTTTTGATTGGGGGGGCAACTGCCCCCCCTGCCCCCCCACTTCCGGCGCCTATGCTTTCTGCTCTCTGTGGGATTTCATTCGCGCCGAAAACATTCTCAATGTGTGTACTTACGAGATGAACTTAGCGTTGAGAGAGAGAGAGAGAGAGAGAGAGAGAGAGAGAGAGAGAGAGAGAAAGTGGGGCACGGTGAAAGGGTGAGGAGAAACGGGAACTACTTTAAATAGGAACTACTTTTGACCCGTATGTTTTTAAGATGAAGCCATTCTATTAAATGTAATGAATCGATGTGAAATAAGGCAGGATAACGACATTCTGTATTTGCTTACAGATTGCATTAAAAGCATAACCATGACAAAGAAAGGTGATCAGAGATGCTAAGATATAATTTCAATTTGATTTTATATGATTTTATTTGATTTTTAATGATTTGATTTCATTCATAATCGACAATCATAATCAATGACGTAATGTAACAGTTTCGCATTAAACCAGGTGTCTTTTCCTGTATTATGTTGGGACCATTTTTTTAAATGACCACAGCCCCTTTTAAAATCCGTAAATGAATGCGGCATCATAGGACAACTATCCCGTGGACTTTTACCCCCGGACAACTTTCCTGTGGACAACTACCCCTGAAAACTACCACTGGACAACTATTCTCTGATTCAATTACCCCTTAATATATAGGTATAGTATAAGAGTATGTATAGATATTTCAAGAGTGTTTGTGTCCGGAGGTGGTTTTCTTTGTCCTAGTACTCGTCCGGTGGTAATTGTCCTAGGGGTACAGTTGCCTAAGGAATATAGTTGTCCACGAACAATGTCCTAAAGGAGTAGTTTTTCTGAGGTGATAGTGGGGAGGTCGTCTGATACGAATATCGCTTCTATATAGGTCAGGAGGATGCATTAGTCTCTCTTGTTTGTCATTAAGGGTATCGTTTAATGGGGAGTTGCTCTTGATGTATTGATCTTTGCAATGCTTTCTTCGCCAGCCGTGTTATTCCATTTCTTTCACTTGATTGATTCCACAAGGCATATAACGTTACTCTTATAATCATGTTCGTATTTAACTGCATATATCTATACGTGACAGTGTCTCACATTCCCTCATGTAACCGCTATGTAAACATTTGGTGATTGTTTTACCTGGCTGCTATCTGTATATGCGTGTAAGTAAGCAACAAGAGGACCGACTACTTTAAGTCTTCTCCTAGGGACTTGGTAATGAGGATTAATGGCTTTACCAAAGGGTACGAGCCCGTTGACTTGATTTCGAACCCCGGACTTGTCGCGGTTACGAGCCATCGCAACTCTTTCACACAATGTCATGTGAAGTATTCGTTGCTCACTGAGAAATGGTATTACAATATCATGGATGATTATTTTGGTATATAGTTTAACAAGAATAATAAATAAATAAACCATCCGTTTATTTGAACTCTGAAAGTTTAGAGTCGTACAGTGACTTGATATTAAATTGGGGGTATAACAATTATGTTCGTCCCCGATATTCACCCCCGAAACAACATGCTGAGCTGATACGAACAGCATTGTTTGTTGATTTCACTCCTGTAGACTTATGCAAGTATAACGTTGCAGATAATATAGTATAAATACGGAGAAACAATAAAACAAACAATAACAAAAGAGAAGTTATTGTGATTTTATATTATTTTTTCGCAGATCAGTCTCGCTATGAAAACCATTTCAAAGCAATACATTTATTGTATTCAAGCTATATTTCCAGCTTGAAAATGTAAATGGCTGGAGACACTATGCACACAGCAGTGGACAGAATGAGTTATGAAGTTTGTCTGAAACGTTTACATAAAATGTAAATTGTATATCATTGAACAACATCTTGGGTTCATTTAGCTGGCACACCCATGTATCATCCATATTATCTGCCATATTGATTCACCGTCAACTCCTTTCATCACAAGCGGTCGGCGTACGAGCATAATTTTCCAAGGAAGGGGGGGGGGGGGGTTGACGTCTCTTTTCCAAAAATCAACTGTTTTTTTCTTAATTTTTTTCCTTTGCAAACGCCAAGCGAAGCTACAGCAAGCAATAAATTACATTAAAACTTGAACATGTAAAAAAAATTCCAGACGAACCCGCTGCTCGAGTATGAGGTAATGGCTGCCCAAGTATTCGTAATTTCAGGTTTATTACGATCGGGAGCTCCAAGCCCCCCCCCCCCTCCTCCTCCTCCCTCCTTCTCTTCTCCCCTTCCCTTTTTCGTTTCCCGCGCCGCCTTATACGTCATACGCCTAAGACGCGTTTAAAATTATATATATAGTCGGCATAGTTAGAAAATTAAATTACAAACAGTGACATTTTCTTCACGTCTCATAACATTTCATTAAGAAGAACACCTGAATGAAGAAGATATTCTGCAGCAATACGGAAAAGGGGACTATAATGTGCTGGGACATGATATAGGAAGAAGAGAAGAAAGGGGTTAACATTCCTCTATTTCCACCATTTCTCAATAAAGGCCGATTTGCTACTGCCTACCGTTATTTTGATTAATTTAGAAAATACGCCGTCGGATTGAACAGGTGTTCTTGATGCCTCAACCATACTGTAACCTTACTCCGAATACTTAACAGTGCCATCAATAAAATAAACATGCTGGGTAGATATCAATCTATGATATTTCGAGTAGTGTGGCCTGAAGGAAATCATTATATCGCGACAAAATCAGAGGATATGATAAGCTAACAATGTAATTCCTCCTGATTTACCACGTTATACAAAACGATTCCGTGATGTGAGCAGTGATAGCAAATATTATTTCTACAGCTAGACAGACCTGTGATAAAGTCATGTGTACGCATATATGCCTTTTTTTTTACATCATCTATTTATCATTATAAATGTATTAGTCAAGAATGTGTTAATCTTAAGTCGTACCATATTGAGCACATCAAAATTGCCATTCAAGTGCATATAGTGCTCTAAGTCAATGTCGGTTAATTTATACGACCATAAGTTATGGCCGAAGGCGGAGTTGAGTATGCGTACATCAAATTTGCGTAGTATCATTGAGTTTGTGTGTATTCAATCATTCAGAATTTCGTTTTAAATCAAATAAAAAACAAACGTATGTTTCCAAAGGTACTGTGATCCCTCTTCAGGAATGACTGTAGTTTATAGACAATGCCCTGAATCAATAATCAATCTCCCTCTTCTTTTCTTTTAACAGTTAGACGTATACACTGAATCTCGACGATGTATCTGCCTGAGGACAACACGTTGCCCTTTGATGCCGGCAATGTGGCCCCATCTCTTCATGTCCCTCCACCCAAGTTCAACGATGATCAGCAAGGGGACAGCCAAGAAAAGAAGAAGAAGTGTGACTCGCACATCGACATTGATCTCCTCAAGAGTAAATCCTTTTACTTCCTGTTCTATGGTGCATACGGCAGTCTCTACCCACTCTTGGCCGTCTACTTCAAACAGCTTGGTTTGAACGCATCCCAGAGTGGTCTTCTCATAGGAATACGTCCATTCATCGAGTTCTGCGCTGCTCCACTGTGGGGCGGTCTTGCTGATTCCTGGCGCAAGGCCAAGGTGCTGTTCCTCTTCTCACTCTTTGCTTGGCTCCTCTTCACCGAAGCGATGGCTTTCATACGACCTGCTGGCTCCAAGTGCATCATCTTCAATCGAACCGATGATAACGGTCACGACATCATCGTCGTTGACCAAGTCGTCCATGATGGCGTGCATCACTACGTGTACGGCCCCAGAGACCACGACGAGGATGATGGGACAGTCGTCGGCCACCAATCGGACATTGACCAACCATTCCGTACAGATGAAACAAGCCCTGTTATTGAGAATCCTTTGGGAGGTTCATACAAGCTTCTCAACAAATCCATCGGGACAGAAGAGCCTATTCGTCGATTACCGTCAGGGACTACAAGTGTGAAGTTCATCAGCGATGACATCCGTGGTGTCTTCCTGCTCCTCCTCATCATCATTGTCGTCGGCGAGTTTTTCAGCTCACCCACCATCACCCTAGCAGATTCGGCTACGCTAGGCTACCTTGGTAGTGACCGTTTGGAGTACTACGGTCAGCAGCGGATGTTCGGCTCTCTGGGGTGGGGTATCTTCATGCTGATCAATGGCATCCTCTTAGACCACACAGCTTCCCACACCCATGACTGTGAGGGGGCGCAAGTACAAGAGGTTAAAAGAAACTATTACATCTGTTTCGGTACCTATGCTGTACTCCTCACATGCTCCTTCTTCGTGGCTACTCAGTTCAAGTTCAAGTATTACTCAGATGATGACCATAAGACAGAGATGTCAAAACTGACCTACAACAAGCAGAAGGGTCAGGTCAGCATTGGCGGTAAGTCACCTTCAAAGACGACTCAATGCATACTCTCTTGCATTAAACTCTTGAAGAACTTACTAACCTAATCCCGGTTGAAATAATAATACTTAAAGAATAGCAAACGGATCCAGACAATACCATTAAGAAATATCAGTTTAGATGTGATTTCATTAATATACATGTACGAGGCTATAACTCTTCAATGGATTTCGATTTCGATTTAGATGAATAATAAGATCGGTTGCCCGACAAAACGTCGCGTAGCGCTGCATTATCTTTTGCCGGGAGGTTAATTTGTGCGTTAGGGCTTTTTTGTTCCCAGCAAAACGCCGTGTAGCAATTGAAAGATATTTTTTGCAACGTTTTCAGCACTTGAAGTATGTGTTAATACTTTAAAAGCACGCTACTTTTTACCGGGCAACCGGTTATTTTCTAAAAATGTTTAGGTTTGAACCTAATTTCTTTTTTTATAATTCCGCACAGACTTTGTGTAAAGACACTCGTCATGATAGTATTCTTAATGCACTATGGAAACCGGGCCTTCAAAGCTCATACTCATTTATTCTTTAATTTGTCTTTATCCTTCTCATGATATCCGTCTTTCATCTCAGATGAAGGTCGTACTCCTGCGACATACGGTTCTGTCGCCACCCAACCCGACCAAGACGGGACCGACCCTACCTCGTCAACAGCTGAGGGCGGTCAAACCACCAGTGATGGCCCCTCTGACACGAGGGATTCCTCACATGACACCAGCGTCCCCACCACCAGTGGTGCTCTGACCCCTACCGAGGCACACCAGGAAGACCCTGCTGGTATCAGACAGGTGTTTCGTATGTTCGCCACCATCCGCTACGGTTCTGTGCTCTTTTTGGCCTGGTTTGCAGGATTTGGTATGGGACTTCTCTTCACCTTCCTCTACTGGCATCTCCAGGATCTTGGAGGGCCACCGTCCCTCTTCGGTCTTGCTTCAGTCGTCAACCACGTCTCAGAGATACTTGCATACTTTTTCAGCCACAAGGTAAGACTTCTTGATGATTGCAAATTCAATATATATCCTCTACCCAGATGAAGTAAATTAATAGCCTATACCTGGCAAAAATTATTTCCTTAAATGCTTTAGTCTCGTAATAGTAGTGTTCATGAATCTGGAATGATATTACCAGGAGCACCGTCTATGACAGACATCAATAGTGTCGTTGGCATTAATCTGCAATACATCCTTAAGAAAACCGATGTAATAATAACATTATCATGATCGTTGCAAGCATTTCATATTATGTAGCCAGTTATTAATCTGTCTTTTGTTTAATCATTATACACGCATCGAGGTATGAGTCATATTGCAAAACCGCCTCCAGGCCTATTCCAAACCGACCGATTCTTGGCTGTTTTCGCATTGCAAGTTTTAGTTTGTTTGTTCTTGGCCAAGTTGGCCCGTGTGTGTCTTGTCGATGTGCATGGAGTCTGAGAGGGTAATACAATGTAATGGAGACGATACAAATTGTTTTATTGGTAAAAACGGTGATATATTATCATTACACCTCTATCAATAAACACATAGACAGATGATACTCGTAATGATACAATAATCATCCATCACTTTGTTGTTGCTTGTCTTTCTCTAGATACTTCATGCGATCGGCCATATTCCTGTGTTCTGTCTGGGCTTGTTCTGCTATGCTATCCGTTTCCTTGCAATCTCTGTCCTCATTAACCCATGGTGGGTTCTCATCGTGGAAACCCTGCAAGGCAAGCAATCTCAATTATTTTGTCCACATTATAATATATATGATGATAATAATAACAACAATTATATACCTCACTTAAGAAATCCAGCCATCTGATTGGTCGAAATTGCATTCATAAACTTTAACTATTCCTGTAAAATTCCCGGTAAAATTCCAAACCCATGTAATAGTTCTAAAAAATAGTTCTAAAATCCCAGTAACCATGGTTACCGGGAAAATAGTTCTGTCTTGGTGAAATACCCATAGGTTTACATGTTAAAAAATGGTCTGAGCGATCGAGGATACCGTACGTGTGCGAAGAATTGGTCGGTAATTTCAATACAATTGAATCTCGATCGATCTTACCGACAATTTTATCTTGCATTGTTGACATGAAGACGAAAATAAACTTCCAAAAACAACATCTACCGATAGATGTTGATCTAAGTTCGTGCCAATATGCATTGCAAAAGTAAAAGAAGGGCCCGTTTTCAATCCATTTTAATGTATATATCAGATGGCCGAGCGGTCTAAGGCGGTGATTTTGGTTACATAACCATCTGAACGCAAGAGATCGAAACCCATCTTTGACCAAAAAACAAAAAAAAATATTTTTTAGTCTACTCTCAAAGATACACTTATAAAAAACAACCGTGCAGATAAACTAGATATAGGCCAAGGTGGTGTCATAAGTTGACTCTTTTTTTTTTTGGCATATAAAAGTATTAATGACTGCTTTAATATTCGAGAAATAGCTGTTTTTATACGCTCTCGTGAAGGTTACAATTGGGCTATTGCCCTTGGCACGCCTCGGGCAATAGCACAATTGTAACCTTCCCTTGAGCGTATAAAAACAACTATTTCTCTCAAAGCAGTCATTAATACTATAATATGTTCTTTTCAGGGTTACGCTGTGAAAAAATGGTTAAATTTACGTAATTTGTTGGGCACTATTTGACCAAAATTTGAGTAAAGAAATCACCCTTCAACTGCCCGACTACGGTAGCCCACATGTTGGGACAATATTGACCAACTGTAATTGGGCCAAATACGAGAGAATTATGCACGTGTGAAGTTGGGTACTTACGTTTACCAATACCACTGGGCAAAACATTGCCCAATGGGTGGGTTGACTATTGGCACAACGTTGGGCAAAGTGTTGGGAAAATATTGCCCAATCTTTTCACAGTGTATAGCCACATAAGTATTTGATACTGCCCTTGCGGAGGGCCTTTGAGTGTTTATTAGCCCATCATCCGATCGTTGCGAGGTAACCCATTCAATACACCTGGGTCGAGACGAACAAAATGTGGTTTAAAAAAAAATCGTGATCAAGGATATCATTCATGTAAGCATCGAGCAAGGATCGAACGCAGGGTCCCACATACTGCATGTGACTTACATGTAAAAGCTTCCATCAATAATTTACCACTACTCTCCCTGAAAAGAGTATACTGTCTGCTGACACGGATTCCTGCGCTTCCCTTTAAAGCGAGAAGGTCCTCTAACATATTTAATATAACAGAACGATGCCTTTTTTTATCTTCCGTCAGGTCTTTCGTAATTAAAATATATGCCAGGTTTGTACATGTATGTGACGTTGTCCTATGTCACACGTTTTATACTTCGTGATGTCTCTCTTTAAGTTGCACTTTACGCGTTGCAGCAGTGTCTTCTTTTCCCATTTTAATATAGCTTAAACCGGATATTGTCCTTCATAGTCCAAATTATTTGATTGACCTCTTCCCTCAGCCATTGGACTTTTTTCGAATCCGCCAGTATGTATTCTGCTAACCTTGTATTATATAGCATTCTACACATTACCTTCAATTTGATCAAGATTAAAGTAGCAAATAATCCTGTTTTCTTGATTATTTTTCAAAATACTCAATTATCTTAACAAGATTTTTCTAAGAGTGTAGTAATGTAAGGCTGGCATGAATCCTATCAAGCATTCTGACACAAGTAGTACTGGAAAAATGCAGTATTCAAAATTAAATCCAAAAACAAGAAAGAAACAAAACACACAAGAAAAAAAATGTAGAAGGACAAATGTCAATTTTCATTCATCACGAGTCTCAGTTTTCCCTGTAGCAAAGTATTCTGATTATGTATTCAGTCCAATTAGTATTTAAGTGTATTTCGAAGTATGCTCATATGGATAAAGTGTACATCTGTTTTGTCTAGTTTGACTCAGGCTGTCTGACTAAGGCTGACTTAAAGGTAAAGACCAGTATTGGAAACGCCCCCAATTTCAAAAAATGAAATGGAAGCTCTCATTACCAATCATGTGAAAGAATATGTTTTGACTAATACATGATGATAACAAATTTGCCGGGAAACCGCCTACTAATTCATATATTTGGTAAATTTGTTTCTCTCATGGTCTGTGAGAGATATAGGGTAGTCCCATATACATCTTTCTGTTTATAGTGCTTGTAACTTTACGAAGAATGGGCCAAATTTCTTATCATTTTGATGATTCCAGAACCTTGCAGATGCTAGATGCTAGATGATCAACCTTTTCTGATCGATTCCACAACGTTTCTTTCACAATGCAATCGCATGACCATAACTGGTCTTTACCTTTAAATAGCATTGCTTGCAACCATGGAACTCCATGTTTTAACCGAAAACACACCTCTTAATATTTTAAGGACCGCTCTCAAGACGGTAGCCTGGAGAGTCCATGAATGTCACCAGTATACACCTTCAGGTTCCAGAATAATCTTTCTCATTTTTCTTTGAGGGTGGGGGTGTCATCAGAGGGTTCAATCTGTTACTTTGAAAATCTGAAGATATTGACGAAATAATCCTTCCTGTGCGTTAGATTTTTGTGCCGTTCCCATTGCAAATTTTTGAAGTGCATTTATGCCATCAGTACAGAATTCGGTGTAAGTATGTTTCATAGTTCTATAGTAGGTACCTAACCACACATAAACACAGCGTAATATTTAGAAGGACCTTCTTATGATATTGTTTCCGAAAATCACCAAAATAAAGGAATCGAACAGGTGAGCAAATAAAGATATTTCTCGGATAATGGGAACGGGACTGTCAGCTTGAAAGCAATCTGTTTATTCACTGACTGAGCTAGCCTCGGATAACAAGAAGCTTGAAATCCGCACCGGTCGTTCTGTTTGCCATCCTGATCGATTCGCTGCTAGCTAGGTTTGACATTCGCTCATAAGACATCTCTGGTACCTTTCATACTGCGTCATTTAGCACGGGCCGCCGTGTCCTCTTCCGCGTTTTGGTCAAAATTGATACTACCGAACATGCTGCTCGGTAGATTAGTTTTCGCAGAATGAAATAAACATGCAGGTTTCCCAAATAAAACTAATGTACCCCCTTAACACAGTCATGAATGGATAAGTTATGAAGATATACGTGTACAAGCTTTTGAACTGCATACAGTGCGTCACAGAAAAAACGAAACCGAGAATTATTGATGTTATATCATAACTTAATTACAATTGTAATTAATAAATGACACATATTTGTAAAGCTTAGATCTTCCTATTTCATTTGATGCAACTCATATGATGCACATTTCACGCATGAGTAATTAAAATCAATTAGTCATTGGCGGATGGTATCTGAATTTAAAAGAGAAAGTCACATTTATAGAAAGTTCATTTTCTGCCCTTTCTTAATGACATCTCAGTCAGGAAAAATTAGTTAGGAATAACAAAGTTCTGTTTGTTTAAAGTAATGCTTGCATCTCCATAATTTTATTAAACGAATTAGTTTTCACTAGCTACCTGCCGTAGCAACAAACAGAATTGACATAAGACGTAACTCCGTTTCGTGACAATCAGCCATGCATGAAGTCTTTCGTCTTCCGTACGTTATCAAGGTATACGTATTTGACTAGCAATAACTATTTATAACAATCACTATGGCCTTACCATCCTGTATAATTATCCATATAATTGGTCAGCTACACATGTACCATACGAATATATAATCGCGGACAACTCCCCCCCCCCCCCCCCCCGGACAATATTACTCCCCTGCCTGGCTAGTTGTCTTGTATAGCGCTGACCACATTAACGGAATGCGCTGTTGGGAACATAAACAGGTAATAAAATGTAAACATACATGTACATGTCGCGATCAATACATGCGTTTTCCGATAGATTTTTCTATCCCTATATTATTGTAAAGGCATCCTTACTCAAAATACCACTGACTTTCTTATATTGGAGAGCTGTAGATCTTTTCTACCGAGCAACGCATCATTTTGACCTCCAAATCGTCTCCACTAATACTACAAAGTCCTCGAAATAGCCTTGCAATCGAGTCACGTCTTCCAAGCAAAACATTTCTCATAAATGTCAAATTGACAACCGGTAGCATTAAATAGGCCAGGATGGGAGGGGCTGGGGAGGAGGAGTGAGAGAAAGCTAAAAAATATCTAGTAAACAATATTTTTCTGTGTTTTATGTGGTTCTAAGTATATGTCGTGATTGTTTTCTTTTGATTGCTGATTATTAACAGTTTTTTAATTGTCTTGTAGATCCTAGAGTGCAAAATGAAAATCTGCCTTTAATAGTAGAATTTTTGTTCAATATCAGTGTATTTTTCTTTGATCAAATCAAATTGACATTATCAATCATTAAAACATACA